CTTTGATCTTTTTTCCCTTGAATTCTCTCTCAATTCTCCAATATTTTTGAGGTGCTTTTATGCAGAAAAGAGGCTCCCCCCCCATGTGTATGGGGCATTCTTGTACTTACATGACTCCAATTTAGGAAAAAATATCGCTCAATATCATTCCAAGTTGATTTTTAATCGTATAAGGAAACTTGGGATTCGGCCAAACTTTTGTACTATGCTACCGCATAGAACATTTTTTGGACGCCAGATTCTTCTCTGGATGCATAGATGCGATCGCACGATTTTATAGCTTTGCGATCGGATAGTTATAAGTTTTTCCCATCGGACAACTTTCAATATTTTGGTCATATCTTCCTATCTCGATATCCGATTGAGGTGATTTAAAGTGAATTAGAAAGATAACGCAAAGAGATACAATTCTTCTTGAAATAACATTTCTCCAATTCGAACTTTTTCTAACCAAAAAATAGGTATCAAGTTGAGACTAAAAATCCGGAGTACAATTTTTTCGATTGGAAGTTGATTTGTGAGAATACTTCAACTCTATTTCACTCCTTTGACTTCTTTTCTCATTCGATTGACTTCTAACACTCTCAAATCTTCATCGTAAAGTTTTAAATCAAGATTCATAAAATCTAAGGTAGTGTTTGATTGAATTCTCCTATTTTATTCAATTTACTCCTCTCCAGTTCTCATTGATCTTATTTAACTACTTTAAATTCTATATCTCTATACGAATCAAACTTAGTTAAACGAAATAATAGTTCTAAGAATTCATTTATAACCTCAATAATTAATATAGGTATCTCTACACGTTTATTAGTTTATCGAATTTTAATATATGGTCTAAACAAAAAATCTGCATCTCTACGTAATTATTGAACAATTGACCAGAAAATTCAAAGCATTGAGAATATGATTAAAATTCAAACATATAATCATAGAATCTCAAATAAAAGAAATAAATGGTTCCAAATAGGTTATATTGTTCACCCTAAAATTAGATTTAGCTACTCATAGTAATGAAAGAAAAACAATAAGTTATTATGGAATATATCGTCGGGTTTTAAATAAGAATATAGAATACGAAACCAATCTTGCACCAAAATTTTCTTCCTCTTCCATTTTATGCTTCAAAACTTGAATTGCTTGATGTTTTTCTCCCTTGAATTTGACCTTTCAATTTTCAATGGCATGTGTTTTCCTCCTAATGAGTAGATTCAATCCCTTGATCTTTTGCCCTCTTGAATTCTCTCTCAATTCTCTAATGTTTTTAAGGTGTTTTTATGCATAAAAGAGGTTTCCCTCATGTGTATGGGACTGTCTAGTACGTATATGGCTCCAATTTAGGTCGAAAATATTGTCCAATATCATTCCAAGTTGAGTTTTAATCGTATAAGGAAACCTGGGATTCGATAGTACATTATCATGCTATCGGATAGATCACTTTCTGGACGCCAGATTCTTATGCATAGATGCGATTGCAAAATTTCATAACTATACGACCGCATAGTTATAAGTTTTTCCCGTTGGATAGTTTTAAGTATTTTGGTCATGTATTTCTCTCTCGATACTCGATCAAGGTAATTCAAAGTGCGTTGGAAAGATAACTCAAAGAGATACAATTCTTCCAAAAGTAGCATTTCTCCAATTCAAACTTTTTATAACCGAAAAATGGGTATCAATTTGAGGCTAAAAATTCGGAGCATATTTTTTTTCAATTGAAAGTTGATTTGTGAGAATACTTCAAATCTATTTCACTCCTTTGACTTCTTTTCTCATCCGATTGACTCCTAACACTCTCAAATCTTCATTGTAAAGTTTGACACAACTTTTGAGTATTTACATTTTGGTCATCAAACTTTGGATCTTGCTCTTTTTGGGGTTTTTCTCTTGTTTCTTCCAATTTCTTGTACCATCATTGAATTTTATGTATTCAACACCAAATGCAACAATTTAGACCATAATTCATCCGAGAAATAAATAAATATCATCATTTTAAGGTCTTGAATAAGTGTATAAAATACACTTATTAATTATCCATCGAGAGACCTCATGCAAATCTATGTTCTTATAGTTATTCAAGTGCATCAGTAGGGGAAATTATAGGTTAACCATGTTTCATTCATGGATCTATAATAAGGAGACTTGACTAACAGAAAAGATGTATTATTCGCAAATTATCTCATATTCTAAACAGATGCTATTTCAGCATGAGAACAGGAGAGCCTGTTCACCAGTATTCTTAGAATTAGATTATAGAACTCGGTCGACTAAGTCATAGGTAAAAGTTTAAGCACACAAGTATGTCACAGCCATCCTTATAATACAAATACATAATCCCTAGATGCTTAATTAAAGAAATAATTTGCTCGCTTATCAAATTTCTCATATTCCTAGATCCGCAGCATATTTCTCATATATTGCTAAAGGGCAAAAGGAAACTAAGAAGGTTTTCCCACCTTTAAAATTTTTTTAAACGTAATTTTGGAAAGCAGTGAGAAGGCGAGTAGATTATGAAGACACACTAAAAGTCAATTGAATGCCGACCATCCTTTGTTTCGAATAATATTGTTATTGTTAATGTAAGTGTGAATATCATTTATTATTACTTCATTTAATCCATTTTTTCATATGTATTAAAAGTCGAATTGATCAATTATATCTATTGGTCTATCTCAAGTAAATTTAGTCTTATTTACACGTCCAAACATACTATATCTCGATGTAAATTCATGCACATAAACGTAGTTGACATAAATTCAACCAGATTGTACAGACTATAGAGGTATCTCTTGGTCCTTTATCAAAGAATATGTCACTTATTGTACGAACTAAGGAAATTATCTCATCTTGATATCATCATCCATAAATCAAGCAATTAGTGTACAAGGAAGGAAGAGGGAGATAGCGAGCTCACTATAATTAAGAAAGGTGTTGTCGAGTTTCAATTCGATTTCTCGAGAATGGTAGAAACGACATTATGGTAAAATAACATATTTGGATAAAACATTTTTAACATTCAAATAAGAACCCTTTCCCTCTTAACATTTTTAACATATTCTATGTGATTCATCACTCTTGTACAATGAAAAGCTCTGTAACTATATAAAACATGCTAGAATCATCCAAGATGTCTTTTCCTCTGTAAGCGTATGGTCTCAATAATTATTCTATCTATTCCACATCCGTCTTAACATCTTGAACCTTGCTGCATTCTTCAAACTATTTTGGTCCTGCATTAAACTAAGCAATATAAACTATAACATATCTAATGGCCATTTTACTTAAACTACGTTTTCAAGTTACAGTTCTCATGATTATACTGGGGGAAAAAATCAGTGCAAACATCCATTGAAGACCAAGAGAGTGAGCACAATACATAAATGAAATCCATATCATAACTCACGATTAAATTGACTTACTAAGAAGGCAACTTTGCGGCCCGAAAAATTGTAAACTTTGACATGAGTGACTCTGAATACTCAATCCCATTCTCCTTGAAGAAAGTCTCAATCATCCCCTTGACCTTCTTGGGCTCCACATTCTCGCACTCGACCTCATACAAATCCCCGAATTCATACTTGACCTCATCTACCTCCAATTTCACTCCGTTCCACTCATACACACTTTTCACAGTCCTGAAGCCCCCCAACCCCTTGAAACCGTTCGCTCCAAATTCCTCTTTAACCCTCCCCAAAACCCTTGAATCGACGTTCATCAACTTCCCTGGATCTTCCAAACAAGCATACCCAATAAACGGGTCCACCTCCTCCTCATCCTCCTCGATGCGGCTCACACCGTTGGTAATCACTGCTTTGGCTTTGAGGCAAATAAAGCATTTGGGGATGTCAGTTTGCTCATAAAATCGGAGGCGCAACACGGCTCGGCTCGACGCGAGCTGAGCTGGGAACCCGTTCCATCGAAGAAAGTATTGTGCTGGTGGTGTGTAGTTATGTGAAATGGAGATAGTAATTGAAGAACCTTCTGGTGGGAAGCTTTGTTTGGTAAACGGAGCTTCACTTCAATCTCCATTAGTCTAAAAAAGGATGGGTATGTGATAAGTGTATTTTATACACTTATTTAGGTCATTAAAATTGAGTATTTATTGATGAATTTGATGAAATATGGCTTAATCCTATGTATATATTGTGTGTAGGTTACAATCAATGGAAGATACAAGAATAAAGAAAATAAGCGGAAAAAAACGACTCAATTACATCGAGGGCAAAGTTTGGGGACAAGGATGCAATAATCCAAAAGTTGAATTGGACCAGAAAAGATACTTTGAAGATTGATAGGAGTCAATTGAATGCAAATTGGAGTAAAAAAGGAAAGGGATATGTACCATAAATTGACTTTAAATCATATAAAATATCTTCAAGATTTTTGATCAACTTGAGACTTTTTCGGATAGAGAACATTTGAATTGGAAAATTTTTATTTCTAGACGAATTGTAGCTCTTTTAACTAGATTTTCAATGCACTTTGAATCACCTAAATTGGATACTAAAAGAGAAAGTTATGATCAAAATACTGAAAAATGTGCAGAGACAAAATTACGTGCGCGCGAAGGCAACTTTCCTCATTTCATTCAAACTCTTTTGGAAGACAATTTGGATATGAATTTGAACCTAATTTTTATCATCTTGGAGGCGAAAAAAAAAAGAGGAAAAAGAGAGCGGGATATACATTGAAGAATCACTTGGATCCAAAATTGAAGGCATAAAGTGGGGAATTTCAGATTCTTTTCGTATTTTAATGATTCAGGTGATGTAGTTCTTTTATTTTTCCTGTTTTTCCTACATTAATATGTTAGGCTAAATATCTTTGTATTGGATGGATGACAAAACTGATTGACTCTTAGTTTTTAATTCAAGACCTTATGTTTCTATCTTAATTCTTGTGTTGTGGTTTCTTTAATATGCATATCCATATAGTTTTAATGTTTGCGCACCATTAGGATAATAAGTTGCTTATTCATAGTGTTGGAAAACTTACGGTAGGTAAAACACTGTTATTGGAACACATGGACAATGAATGTTGGGAAAAATATTTGTGATGTGTGCGATCATGTGTGATAATCCAATACATCAATGCGTGTTTGCCATATGAATTCGGATTAGGAATATGATCGTCTCGTGGTAATCATAGGTTTATCATATCTTGGAAAAAAAATATTAAATAAAAGTGGAATTATCGATCGTCACAATTGCATGAGTTGAGATAATTGTCATAGGTCGAGAATTAGAACTAAGAGTTAATTAGTAGCGTCGGAAATCCAATACATTCACTCATCTGAATTCTAAAACAAATTCTCATCAATTTTGCAATTTTTAGTTATAGAACTTAATTAGCTATTCAAACAAACGTCAACTTTTAGTTAATCACACGAATTTAATTATATTGAATATACTAGAATTAGACCTTATTTCCTGTGGGATGATAACTCTTTCATCACAATTATTACTTGTACAACGAACCCGTACGCTTGCGAAATTTTGACGAACAAGTTTTTGACGCCGTGGCCGGGGAATAACAGTGTTAATTTTAGTTATTAGATATTTTAAATTCATTTATTTTTATTTTTATTTGTATTTCATTTTTAGTAGTTGTTTTTAGGCTAACATTACACTGCTTAATTCTCTTGTGTCTTGACACTTTTTAGGCGACTTTAGTTTATGCAAAATCCTGAGGAGCCAGATCTCTTTCCAATAGATCACAAAATAAAATGAACATTTAGAAATCGTAGAAGAGTTCAACGTCAAGCAAGGAGAATGGCCGATAACCAAAATCAACCACAGCATCAAGTTCAGCTTCACGAGCAAATACCGTAGTCAAATCAACCGAGAGCTATCCAGAACGATGCTCCTATCTTAGTTGGAGATTACATCAATCCAATTCCTGCGCCAGTGCAACCAGCTGTAATATATCCTCCCTTTGGACAACCTAATTTCCACCTTAGACCAGATGTCATCAATTTGTTCCAAAATCATCAAGACATCAAGTTCTTTGGAAAAGCTACAGAGAATCCTCATGAACATATTTCGGCGTTTCTTATGCTATGTGAGGTAATCAGTCATGAAGGAATATCAACAGATGCATTTCGAATGAGATTATTCCCTCATACCTTGAAGGACACTACAAGGGAATGGTTTCTTTGTCTACCACCTGGGAGCATTCAATCTTGGAACGATATGGTTCAAAAATTCATGATGAAATTTTTTTCACCTTTTTGAGTTCATCAAGTCAGGAATGAAGTCCACACTTTCAAGTAGAAAGATCTCGAGAGCTATCTGGAGGCATGGGAGAGATCCAAGAATTTTTTCAGGAAATGCCCTAGCCTTGACATCCCTAAAAAGGCTCAACAATATCTATTCTACTACAGTCTAAAGCAAGAATTCAGAAATATGATAGATGCTTCTGCAGGAGGATCGGTGATGAAACTTGATGTGGATGAGACATATGACTTGTGAAAGAATAGCTGAGAATCAATGATGTGGCCAATCGATAGGAAAACTCCAAGGAAGACAGTAGGGTTGCATAATGTAGATGCAGTAACAGCACTAGCCGCACAAATGGAAGTTCTTACAATGAAAATAGACAATCTGTCTAAGTCAGTTAACATGGTACACCAATCTCCACCAGTTTGTGAATGTTGTGGAGCTGATCATAATACTATGCACTGCCCTCTGGCGTCTACACATGTTAACCAATCTAAAGAAATGAGCTATGCGCAAAACTTTCAGAGACAACAAAATAGTCCCTTCTCCAACACATTTAATCCGGGTTGGAGGAATAATCCAAACTTTTCATGGTCTAGCAATCAGGGACAAGGACAAGGATGAAACAATTAGATTAAACTACCAGGGTTCCAACAAAAACAACAACAACAAGGAAAAAAGCCATCATTGGAAGATTTGCTGGCTCAATACATTACTAAGACTGAAACTAACTTTTAGAATCAGCAGGCATCTATTAAGAATTTGGAACAGCAGGTAGGGCAGATCGCAACTGCAATAGCTAATAGACCACTGGGTACCTTACCAAGCAACCCAGAGAAGAACCCATAGGAGCAGGTATTGGCAGTTGATGCGGTAAATTATGCAACTATTGAGCTTCCATCATTCACTCCCGCCAACCTTGTCAAGGCGTATGTGCCACCCATTTCGTTTCCTCAGAGACTACGAAGGCAACCAACATTGTAGCAGGTTCAGGCCATCACTACTATGAGTGGTGTTCAGCTACCAGAAATCACAGTGAAAAAGAAGGAGACTGAGGAGAATCAAGTGCCTACCACCGGGGAAGAACCGGTGGAGCAGTCTGAAGAAACAATAGAAAATGATCAAAAGATAGTTTCAGATAGTTCACAGCTTAAGGCAAATGTTCTTGGCACTACACTACCACCCTCGGTCCCTTTTCCTCAAAGGTTGCAGAAAGCCAACTTGGAGAAGCAAGCTATGAAATTCTTAGAGGTCCTCAAAAAGCTGCATGTCAACATTCCATTCATCGACGCTATCCTTCAAATACTAAACTATTCTAAATTTTTGAAGGAGATGTTGATTACAAAAAGGAAAATGCCTGAGCATGAAACAATAGCATTATTTGAAGAGTGCAGCGTGACCATCAGCACAGGATCCCTTCCAAACTTAAAGATCCAGGGAGTTTTACTCTATCTTACTCCATAGGAAATTTAATTGATATAAATTGTTTAATTGATTTAGGAGTGAGTATTAATTTAATTCCTTTACAGGAAACTGGGATTAAAAGTTCCTAAGGCTGCATCTATTATCCTTCAGCTAGCAAACTGATCACTAAAACACCCTTACGGAATAGTCGAAGACATGTTTATTAAGGCGGGGGAGTTTATTTTTCCAGCTGACTTCATCATCCTTGACATAGAAGAGGCAGATCATATGCCAATAATCTTGGGACGACCATTTTTGTCTACAAGTTGAGCCTTGCTAGATTTTGATACTAACGAGATAATCTTGAGGATAGAGGATAAGCAACAGAGAATGTAATCAAACAACCATCTTACTTTGAGGACTACCAACGAGTTGATCATTGGGAGAGCTACAAAGATAGGCCAAATGAAGGTGAAATTATTGGTAGAGACAGTAATAAAAATTTGATTTTGTGGAGGATGAAAGATGAAATAAGGAAGTGCAATCAGTGCATAAAATGCAGAGATGAAAATTTCCTCTTCAAGCCACCATGAATAGCCAAAACAACAAAATCTAGCTAAAAATTATAAATTAAGCACTTATTGGGAGGCAACCCAATTTTTAAACTTTTTATTTATTTTGTTTTTTACATCTCATCGCATTGCATATAGTCTTGTTTTGATTATTAGTCTGCATTAAATTTAGGCACGGTTAAATTTATATGGTATCACCATCCAATCATGCTTTCACTGAGGCCCTTAAATATAATGTTGGTTATTTCGAGTGTTTGGGCTAAGTAACACATATTCTAGATTATTTGATCTCTAATATTTGATGTGATTGCCATATGCAGGAACATGACATCGTGGAACACTCAAATCAATATAAATAAAGAGAAAAGCATGATGAAAAAAATTGTCTAGCCGTAACCTACAATACCTTCCATGTTCAATAGAAAAATTCAGGGAGTACCTTCGTCATTTTCTTTTCCATCCCTTTACATTTTTAGTTATGTTTTAAGACATTGAGGACAATGTCGGGTTTGAGTTTGGGGGTGGTTTAATCTTTTATCTTCATCGTTTGTATGTGTTTTACTTATTTTCGCATGATTGGTGTGTTTTTATTTAAAAGAAAAAAAAATTTTGTTTTTAACTTTTGTGTGCTGTGTGGGCTGGATGGCCTTGCTGGCAATGATGCATGTATTAAAACTGTGTAATTAACTAAGAACCGTGGAAGAATTATATGTTGAGTTAGTTGACACCTGTTGATGTGAAGCTTGATCTCTATTGAGCACGATATTCGTGTTCTGTATTACGAGTTGATGACTTGGTTTGTATAAGGGGAAAGTTGAACATAGTTGATTCAAAC